AAGTAAGGCTCGGAGAGCAGAGGCATCGTTGAAGTCATGAATGATCGGGGTAATAAACAAATGCAAGTTGAGAGCAGAGGCATCGTTGAAGTCATGAATGATTTGAAGCTCCTTTATGATGTTTATTTTGTTTCTACGCTGACTCAAAATTTGTTGAGTGTTGGGCAACTCATTGATTGTGGATATGCCATTTTGTTCGACAATTCGTCATGCGTGATTAGACATAAAAATATTGGTCGAGTGATTGTCAATATTCAGACGGCAACCAAATTATTTCCACTTGAAGTGTCAAAAGTTGATGAATGTGTACTTGGTGCCAAAGCAGCCTGCGAGTCTAAATTGTGGCATTTAAGGTATGGGCATTTAAATGTGAATGGTTTGAAATTGTTGAGTCAAAAGGATATGGTTTATGGCTTGCCTAAAATTGAATCCTTGGAGTTATGTGAGGGCTGTGTTCTTGGCAAACAAGCAAAGAGATCTTTTCCGATAGGACTTTCTAGACGTGCATCTACTTGTCTTGAGCTTATACATGCAGATTTGGTAAGCCCGATGATAACAAAATCTCTCGGTGGGAGCAGATTCTTCTTGTTGCTAACCGATGATTAGAGTCGGATGAGCTGGGTTTATTTTCTACAAGCCAATTCAGAAACATTCGATATGTTCAAAAAATTCAAGGCTCTTGTGGAAAATCAATCCGGAAAATATGTAAAGGCGCTGCGTACAGACAGAGGTGGTGAGTTTGTATCTCACAAGTTTAATCAATTTTGTGATGAGCATGGCATACAAAGAGAATTAACAGCCCCATACACTCCGGAGCAAAATGGTGTCGTCGAGCGCAAAAATAGAACAGTCGTGGAGATGGCAAGAAGCTTGCTGAATTCCAAAGGACTTCCAGATATGTTTTGGACTGAGGCAGTAGCGACAGCAGTGTATTTTCTTAATTTATCTCCTACAAAGGCTGTTTTGAACCGCACACCATATGAGGCTTGGAATCGAAGGACACCGAGAGTAAGCTTGATGAAAAAATCAACAAAATGCATTTTTCTTGGCTATTGTTCACAATCCAAAGCCTATATATTGTACGATCCTATTGCGGGCAAAGTTATCATAAATAGAAATGTGGTTTTCGATGAAAAGCAAGCTGGAAGTGGGATAACAGCTCAGGGAACATTGCCGTTTGAGTTTTTGGTGAAAATGAGAGCATTGGAAGGGATATACAGCAGCTGCCTTCACCATATTCTTTAGGCTCGTCATCACCATCTTCACCTAGACTCATACCTGAAGGATCAAGAAGCAATTATGATGATGAAACTCCTCCACTCAGGTTTCGATCATTGGATGAAATATATGCAGATTCTTATTCTAAGTTTGTAGGTGATCCTATAACCATTCAAGAAGCAGTGAAGGGAGAAGAATGGCGTGCAGCGATGAAGGATGAAATAACCTCAATTCAAAAAAATAAGACTTGGGAATAGGTAGATCTTCCGGAAGGAAAAAAACCAATTGGAGTTAAATGGGTTTTTCGAACAAAATATGGAGCTGATGGAGCGACTTGTGGCCAAGGGGTATGCACAACATCAGGGAGTTGATTACGTCGACACTTTCTCTCCGGTTGCACGATTTGAGACAGTGAGAATCCTTCTTGAATTGGCTGCAAAATTAAATTGGCTGATATACCAATTTAGTGTGAAATTAGCTTTTCTAAATGGTGATTTAAAGGAGGAGGTTTATGTCACTCAGCCTGAAGGATTTATAATTGAAGGTAACGAGGAGGAGGTGTACAGGCTGCACAAAGCCTTGTACGAGTTAAAACAAGCTCCGCGTGCATGGTATGAAAAGATAGATTCCTATCTTTGTGAAAATGGATTTGAGCGAAGCAGGAATGAGCCCACATTATATGTGAAGAAGCAAGGTAAAAAATGATTTTCTCATTCTTTGACTTTATGTTGAAGCAAATGAGAAACAATTCAAAAGGTTGATTGCAGGATTTATTTATTTGGCGTGTACACGTCCACACATTGCTTTCTCAGTGGGAGTACTTTCCAGGTTTATGCATTCCCCTCCACAACATCACTTTGGTGCTGCAAAAGGAGTGTTACACTATGTTGCTGGAACAGTCCAATTTGGATTATGTTATAGCCATGCATCCGATTTCAAGTTGATTGGTTATACGGACAGCGATTGGGCAGGCTGCTTGGAGGACAGAAGAAGCACCTCTGGTTACGTGTTTACTCTTGGATCTGGTTTGATATGTTGGAGTTCCAAGAAGCAAGAATCTACAGAACTTTCAACGTCTGAAGTTGAATACGTAGCAGCGACAACATCAGTCTGTCAAGCAGTTTGGCTACGTCGTATTCTTGCAGATTTTGCTCAAGTCCAATCTGAACCAACGGAGATCTTTTGTGACAATAACGCAGCTATTTCCATGTCGAAGAATCCAACCTACCATGGAAGGACAAAGCACATAGATATTCGAGTACACTTTATTCGAGATCTTGTGTCAATGAATTTAAATAACTTCAAAGTATTGCAGTACGCATGAGCAGGTGGCTGACATCATGACCAAGTCACTTACTCGAGACAAGCATATTCACTTCCGATCGGAGCTTGGTGTTTGCACTTTCGAATCAAGGGGGAGTGTTAAGATTTGATTCAAAAATAATTAGGATATATTTTATATTTATTAATTACTATATTCAGTTTTAAAAGGTGGATTTGATTAATAATTATTCCATATTTATCTTGGAATGTAATCTCAATATATTGAGATGTTTCCCCTTGAACAATATGAAGGACTTTGAAGTTTATCCAAAAAAGAAGCACTGCACGTCCTCTCCTCTCTGCTCTGTTCGTCTCCATTGTTTACAATCTAGTTTGGTGGCAATTTCTATCTTGATTCGCAACATGAACCACTGTAACATAGATTCATTTTCATATCTCTTTCTTACTCTTATATTTAATCATTAAAATCTATATTAAAATGAATGTTTTCATTTTGAAATAACAAAAATACTTCTGATTGAGTTGGTGTGGTAGGATAGTGCGATACTCCAGCCTGTAAAGCTACGCAAAGCCGGACGTATCGTAATTGTAGACTGGCCTCGTAGGTCAACACGGTCCTTCCAGCGCACTTATATGCCTTTAAATTGCTTTTAAAATCAATTATGTAGTAGCGTTTGCGTGGTAGTTTAAATATGATGTATTTGGTATCATTGTCAAGAAGTGAGAATTGTTTGAGAACTTGTCCTGTTTTTCTATTTCTGCGCCAACACAATCTTTCTAAAGATTGTAAATAGAAGCATACTACTGCTTATGTAGCCTTAGGCTATATTAGTTCTACGACTTTTGCTAATTTTGGCGAAGGGAAGCACAGTATCTCTAATGCATCAGAGTGCGTTCTATTTCAGTTCTTGTTGTGATTAGAAAATTAGTACAAAACATGCTTAATGTAATTATATTTTAAATGGGTTTTCTTTCCCTATTGTCTCCTCTCATTTTTATTTTTCAATCAGATTTTTTTGCTTATGTTTTTGTTGGTTAATCAATGTGATTCAAATCCTTCTAATTTTTCTTTCAACTACAACAGGAACTGACCATTCAACTTCTTAACTTTGTAGAAGCTGTTATACTGCATTTTCTACACAGAAAATGCTGTAGCCTATATATGTACACATTCCCCAGATTTTATCCCGCCGCAGGTAATCCTCTTACTACATCGTAATAATATAAAAGGGAAATTTATACTCCTACCTGGTAAAATCACTTTATATGATTTATGTACAACATTGTATTATATTGTTCTATACTTTTAGGCAGCGATAGCTCTATAAATATTTTTTACCGGTATCATTATATATAAACTTACAAATAAAATTAACTAATAGGTTTAATTTTATTAAAAAAACATACGAACAATTTATCTTTTTTAATTTAAATAGATATTAGTGACACTTCAAATTTTAATTAGGACACTAGAACTTTCCACTGGTAGCATATTTATTAAATTGTAAAAATTTCCCTAGTAAAATCACTCGTGACACAACTGTGATTTAAGAATACTTCCGCCGCCCTAACTTTTAGGTTATCCAAATATTTGCATGGATAGAAGTTTGTTACGTATGATTGCGGAAACTTGTCATTTCTTACACATTACACTTCTTTGTTTGACATACAATAATGAACATGCTATTTATTGTAATTGCGGATATAACTAACCCCTTTTACGTTTACCAATAAAATGGGATTCAATTAATTGAAAGTAGCTTAATTTTAGAAAATATTAACGGAAATAACGTCGGTATCCAAACTAAATTAACTACTCTATGTTTGATTCAATAAAGTCAAAATAAACTTTAAATATCTATTATTAAACCTTGATAAATTATTTTTGTCTAATTTTGGCGTATATATGTATATTCAAAATGTCAGTGTAATGTGTTCTTATAAGGTTCCCTTATGTACCAACAACACTTAGATTTGGATATATATATATATATTATGTCTCTTATATCTAATTTCTAGAGCTCAGAATTGTTTTAGGGATAGTTAAGGTCCTAATTGACTCTACTTATCACATAGTAAATGTATACATAAGATATGGCTAGAATTAATGCTATTATCATGCGTCGCCAGTCAATGCTATGTATAGTGCTACGTGTGATATATGATAAGATCAATGATGGCATGCATTGTCAGTATTGATACTATGTCAACATGTATTTTTGTGTTACAAGCAATTAGAGCACGTGCTTTGGGTCTTTTTATTATATAATAATTAGGATTAATTCTAATTAGCACAGTAAGTGCTGCTGTTTTAAATGTGTCAAGATGAACTAATGAACCTTTAAGGTGGTCCTAAGAAGTACCATATTCTCTCACTTTTCTTGGACAGGTGGGTTTCTGCAAGTTGATCTACTAGATAAACTGATGCTGAAAATATTTTCTATCAGATGCTGTATATATAAAATGTTGGAAGAGAGTTGCAGTCTCCAATATTCGACAAGTCTTGTGCATGTATACTTACTTTATGATACAAACATATTCTGTCACAGCCACTCGGTCTATTAATGATCACTCCAGCCTGAATTAAACTGCTAAAGTATGCTGTCTTAAGCCCTCCGCAAAGATCTTACATGAGGTAAATGTTGTTTAGCTACCATTGCCGAAATATATTCCAGTTCCTACCAGGTGGTCACGGAAATATATATGATTGAATAATATACTGCTATGCAGCTTATTTGCTTACTTCCTGTTAACATCCGATCTTGTCTTACAGATTTTGGCGACGAGGTTGGCATGGCCTGCTCATCCTAGCTCATGGAATACCAAGACCTCTAATACTAAATACGATGTCGCATTACAAGTAGTTGAGTTCAGATTTATTACCGCTCCGTATATATGCTTACATTCTTGATTCAAATTGAGATGTCAAATGTTAAGTTTTGCTCAGCACTACACTAATGGATCCCTGAATCCTCTACCATTGGTGACAAAGATCAAACTGGTTGTTTGTATTCCTACTAATGAAAATATGCGTAGATGGTTGAAGATTTCTTCTGAAGAATGAACATCAACAGGGCAGTATTAAATATATATAATTCCCCAAGAAACTTTGTAGTTTTCATTGAATCCCTAGTTAATCTTCGCAGCCAATGTAGAATGATGTCTGCGTTTTGCTAGCTCGCTCCACCGTCTTGCTTTAATAGCGTACCAAGACAAGACAAGACAAGGCATTAGTAATATATATATACATATATATTCATATGTATGGAATTATACAACTATAATTTGGGCCTGTATTATTATTTTCATCCTCTATAAAAATAACCTAAAGACAAGAAGATAAAAAATAGTGAATTGGGATTTTTTTTTTTGACAAACTGTCCATATAAAAAAATGAAAATCAAAGCCCTATTGGAAAACCCTAATTTGTGTGCAGCAAGAGAAGACGTGTTGCCCTTGCCCTAAACGAAGAACTGCAGTTGAGGCCAGGCGCCGCAATAATTATCAAAAATACCCTCTCTATAAAACCCCTGCGTCCATTTCCACTCTTCACACCCTCGAAACCCATTTCTTAGTTTGTATGGCCATTCCAATATCGCTGCTGGCAGACTTATATCTATATCTATCTATATATACCAAGGCTTCCCCTTGACGATATATACGTGAGGAAGTCATTTGTAGTGTCTTTTCTTTCTGTAAAACTCAGAATTGTTGATTTCTATCTTGCAGATCCCTTGAGTTGCGCTTTAATTCTCCGGCTCCTTAATTTGTCCATCTGAAGGTAATATATGGTTCCATGTTCTGGATGTGATCTCCATCTCTTTCTCTACTCTATCCTTTCTCTTTTCACAATCTCGACTTTTTCTTTCATGGAAAGTAAAACTAGGGTTTTGATATAAGAGTTGGTGGATTTTTAAATGATTTATTATGATTATTGTTTCATCGATTTGGGGTTTTTTCAAGGAAAGTGAACTTAAGGTTTTGATTTCTTGGTTGATCTACTTTATAAATGATTCTCTCATTAAAAAATTTAGAATCGATAAGATGAGCATCAGATCTAATTATAAGAAAACCACATCCCATTATTTTTATGATTTTTCTTACATTTTATTTTCTTTAAGTTTTTTTTTGTTTTTGTTAAAATTAGATCTGATCTAAGCTGTGGTTTTTCTTTTTTGGAAAATTATATACTCAATCCTATAGGGATGTCTTGGTTTGTGTTTGAACGCAGCTTAGGAAGATCCAAAGCAAATTTACACCGGCTGCTCCTAGAATACAACTCGATCGAGGGCGATCAAATCAGGACCACGATGGAGCAGAAGGTGTATGTTCACAATGGATAAATGGTGCCATATCTATGATCAGGTATCAATGAAAAAAGCTTATATAAATAATGTTAATATATATATATATATATCGGTTCTTGGGTTATTAAATCTTGGGATTTGGAGTGGCAGTTATTTTGAAACAATTTAAAGTGATTTTTGAATGTTCTTCTTTTCAGTAACATCTAGGGTAAATCAAGGTTAAAAAAATCCAAAAACCAAAAAAGATGGCTTATAAACGTCATGAGGGCTCCATATCTCATCTGACAGAGAAGGAGTTATCACCGTCAATTCCCCGTTTTTTCCATGTACTGAATGATGCTCATGTCTTACATGCACTGGTACTCTCTCATTCATGTTGAATTTTTGGACTTCTTATTCTTAACCTTTGGGAGAATGCTGCTTGTAATCACATTGTAATATGTAGTGTCTATTATTATGGGATGTAAACATAGTTTGGCGAACAATTATTGAACTTTAAGTAATTTACTACATTACACAACTATCCTCTCATCACCCCCACAAACTTGTTGGGTACTAAGTTTTATAGTTTTAGGATGTTTAGTAGCAAAATTGTTGATATGTGTAGATGAAATTCTTTTATAATTTCTGCAATTTTTATAAAGCATGCATCCTTGTAAAAAATTTAATATTTTTGCAGCGCTTGCCATCTTCATTTGCTCCAAAGGTGGAGCACTTGGTGGACCAAGAAATCCTCCTTGAGGATTTATGTGGGCAGATATGGCCTGTGACTCTATCATATGTTGACAATGCATTATCATTCGCATTGGGATGGGAAATATTTTATAGGGACCATGCTCTTGAGGGGGGATGTTCCTTGATATTTAACTATGTAGGAGAGAGGCACATGTCTGTTCAAATATATGATCCAAGTGGTTGCGAAAGAACTTGCTTCACCTATCCAGTGCGACAACTGAACAATCAGAACTGCTATAATGTTGGGGTTGAGGAGATTTCTGAAATGGGATCAGCTCCTCGAACTGCAGCCATGGGGATGCCTCAAAGAAAGGGAGTCTCTATTTCCGATATCCATAATGGTGAGATAACTTCTACCTCCCTACTTATTTCCTCTAGTTTTCTAACGTTAACAATAGATTCAATGGTATTTTGTTTTCGTAAATATTGTCCTATTTCTTACATTTGTTTAGTTGCTTTAGTGAATAGGCTAGTGTTTATTTTCGTTTGTTCTCATGAGTAGCAGTGGTTGGTCTCTAAAATATGAATGTGCAAACAATCTATTAAGAGTTTGGTCTTGAAACATGAATATTGTAGCTATTTGCGTGTATGTTATTTTCCTTAACAGTTATAATCTGAAAATTATACCTTATGAAGTTGCATATGGGGTTTATTTTATGCCATGGTATCAATCAAAGCCAATTTTATATTAATCTTATAATTTGTTAGATACTATAAATGAGAAACGATATGGAAAAGGAAAAGGGAAAGAGAAAGAGCCAATCATAGGAAGGAAACTGATCCCTGCTAGCCCAAAGATGCCTCCCCCTGGAATACTTTTTGCTTTAGTTGTTTCCCTTATATTTGATCTTTGAAAGAATTTTAAATTCTTGCATTTGTAAATGAACGGAGTTGACATACTCTCTAGATATTTTTATTACTATGTGCTTTATGTCTTATTATCTTATTAGTTTTAACTACATTCGAGGAAAATAATATAAATTGCATGTCATATGGCTTTCAATATTTTTTTAGTTTAATATTCCATCTCAATGGTTTAGGGTTTGGGAAGCCGATGGGAGGTATTGCCAAGGAGAAAATGGGTGCCTCCGGGCAAGTAATCCTAACGAAGGTAGAACTTGTGCATGTAAAACAAGAAATTTGTTTGGAAGAGGAAATGGATGCAACCCCATCTGCAAATGCTAGCCACTCATCAAAGGACCCTATTAGCCCACCGCCCGTATAGTGTTTGCTTTCTTTATTTCACTATTAATTACATCCAATCTTTTGAAACATTCTAAATTCTTGCATTTGTAACGCAATAGAGTTGACACATTCAGATAGGAGCTCTATGGATCTATTCAACTGTAAGTCTTTCCCCTCCCAACCACCTGGATTTTAATATCGGTTCTGTGCTTAAAAACATGGTGTTGTGTGCATTTTTTTCTTAGAAGATGTGAGAGATTTGTGTTTTATTTGATCAAATGTGTGCTTGTTTATATGGGTTATGAATTGCTGGAATTGATCTATTTTGCTTTTTTGGCCATTGGGTTATGTTGTAATTAAATTTGAGTCCTACTGGTATTGATGTGTTTTATTGTTTTTTATTTGTTGGAATTGAGCCATGCTGCTTCCCATTTGTTGGTTTTGTTGTGTATTATTTCTCATTTCTTGGATATTGTTGGATTTATTTGAAGGCATAAAGTAGTATGGCTGGATTAATTATATTAATTTGAAGACATCCTAAATTGAAGTAAATTATCTATAAAATGAACACAACCCAATTTATTTATTTATTTTATTCATGTGAATTACATTGTTTGATCACCTAATCTATTTTTTGATGGTACAATTCTTTGTCAATATTATTCTTTTTCTCCATTTTAAAAACTATTGTATTTTAATGAGACAAATATACTCCTACGATTAAAAAAAGGTGGGTGTAATAGTATTTATGTAAAATAATTATAAACATAAGAGTATGTTTAATACGGAGTGTTGTCTACAATTACTAAAAAAAAAGTTGTTACTTTATAATTGAACAATCAAAAATAAAAAGATATATATTTTTGTGAATAGACGGCGGGGGTGGAGTCTATAGATATGGCGTTCCTGCTACTTACGACTTAATGATCCTGTTTGAAAATAGGCCGCCATATATATATAATTTTTTTAAATAGGCTTTCGATGCTGAATTTGCCACCCAATGTCAGCGTCACATCCGTGATACCTGTGGATTTTTTTTCCATTCAAAATCAGAATTTTAACTTTGGTTAAAATTAGATCAAATTGTAAGAAAATTTACAATTTATCAGTCAATACTTTTAGAAATTGCTTTACCAGTCAAAATTGTAAAAGAAAAAATTATGGAAAAAAAAAGAAAGCAAAATAGAAAAAAATACTGTGGTTTACTGAATTTGCTTAAAACTCTTGTAGTACTAAAATTCCAATTTACTTACTTATAATTTCAAAAATGTTGTAAAAACACCCCTCCAAGCAATCAACGCAGCCACCAACCGGAAATTCCAATGCCTTCATCTCCCTGGTCGGTGAGGAAGCTGGCAGCGTCTTTATAAGACCTAGATTTCATCAAACCGCCGGATATGTTATTGGCATCGAAGAAGGCTAGGGCACAAATTTTGGAGCATAAGAATAATTTAGAAATCGATAACAAGGTCAGGCATGTTTTTTTTATTACAATCCAATCAATTTCCTTGACTTCTACTTCTGGGTGAAGAAAATTGTTCATAGTATTGAAAATGTAGTACAAACTTTTCCCTTTGTGATTTTTCTATCAGATTGATTGGTTAAAATTGTTTGGTAGTGGTTGCATGAGAAATTTTGCTATAGTGTGTTCTAATTTGATCCAATTTTGCCATAGTTGTTTCTTGTCGTGTTTATGATATACGGAAATTCATTGTTGTTGATATTTAAAATAATGTTTGCGTTTCATTCTTTGTGTGTGGGAATGGATCTTCGGTAAATCAAATTTTCTGTAAGCATTATTAAATTAAACAAATGAGTTGAGGATTTGTGGAGTTTTCGAAAGTTGTAAAGGTGATTGGTTTCCAGTGGAGAATTTTTAGGGGGTGGAGGATTCCGACAGGAAGAGAGGTGGGTGGAGGAGCCTCGGGTCAGGAAGGAAGATAGATAGGGAAGGAAGAAGAAGATGGACGTGACGGCTGACATTTCATCCATGTCAACACCACATCAGCATGGGCGAGACATGGTGGCAAATCCGTACCGGAGGACTATTTCAATGAAAGTTTTTTTCTTGCAAGATAATTTTCAAATAAAATCCATTTAGAGTTGTAAAATGATAAGACATCAATGCAAAACTAAGAAAACTAATTTACCCACCATAAATTATTTTTAATCTTACATTTACTTATAATATTTTATAAATTGTCTTTACTAAAATAAAAATAAGATGATTACGGTGTAAATAAAGAAAAATATATTAATATTAGAATCTATCAAATTTAAAGTGATAGTAAATACAATAATAGAGGGCAAATTTTATAAATATTATATGAATGTATAAATATTGAAATAAATACAACATATTTTGTATTCATTAAATACATACTTAAATAATTAGATATATATAATACATGAGAAAGGGAGACAACAAAACAAGCACATCCAGCATAATTCATCTGAAAATTGAAGTCTCAAGAACAGTGTGTAGCGCTAAACAAGTCATTGGCTAATGAGCATATGGTTATTGATAAATGAAAAACTAAGAAAGAATTCAAATTAAATAATCAAATAAATCATATTGATTTCTAGGAATAGAAAAACAGAGAAAACAAATAAGAATGTTGAAGTTATCTCACTGAATCGGAAACTTCATATGCCCCTTTTTTAAGGTAGGAGTGAGTAGGGTGGGGATCAAAGATTAATTTGCGTATGTGAGCGGACTTGTGAGTAAGAGAAGGATCCTCCTACGCCATAGTTGAATTTGAATACAGAAGAAAGGTTATGGAGGCCGTGCAGTTTCCTATCATGTTGGAAATTGGACAGAAGCCAATACAAACACGTAGAAAGCCACTTTTTTTAGAAGTAAAAACCAAACGCCCCTCTCAAAAACTAATCCAAACGGAGCCTTAGACTATCTAATTTATTTAAATAAATTTCATAGCATCTTTTAGTCATATATAATCAAGTAGTAAGAGCATATGCAATGGCTTAGGTATAAATTTGTTTATATGAGAGCATATATATATATTGATATATTTTTTCATGCCCATTTATTTGTCTATAAAAGCATATTAAACAAATAAAGTTTAGATACATTTATTTAATAATTGCAAAGAGTTTGTTCACACCAAATGGGGCTACACCAGGATCAATGAATCCCGCTTTCCTTTCAATGATCGCCTCCTTTCTTTTACCATTTTATGCATCTCGTAAATTATAATGCGGACAAGAAACTAAATTTGATTAATACCATGACATAATAAACCACATATATAACTTCAAAACGAAGATGATTTGCACAAAGTTTGAGTCTGATGAGAAAATAAAAGGCACAAAAGAATGCTATAATATTTGTGTTTCAAGACCAAGTCTTGATAAAGTATTTGCACATTCACAATTTAGAAACCATTTAGTCATGACAACACACAATAATAGACATTAGGCAATTATGTATAGCAACAAAATAGATGTAAGAATGTGAAAAAATCAAAAAGAAAAGAAAAGAAAAAAAAAAGAAAAAAGAGACAATGCAGTGAAGATTGAAGACTCAAAACATATTGTGTTCTACTCTCTCTCCATCCCACATATTATGTAGCCATTGACGATTTTATTTTATTTTATTTCTCAATTTTTAAGGTACTATATAATACTCCCTCAGTACTAGATAATTTGGGTCTATTAGAGTAGATACCGGAATTTAGTAAAATATAATCAGTAAGTAATTTAAAAAGTGTATTACTAAAAATCTTATCGTACAATAAAAATAATTATAGATTAAGATAGCTAGTTAATTAAGATTAAGATAACTAGTTTGATTAATATTAAGAAAAATAGAAATGATGAAATTTAAAATGTCACTACCAGAAATTGTTTAATACCTTTCGGAAAATTGTTTCAGATTTTGAAATAGATCCGAGGTTAATTTTTTAAAGCCTCGGAATTCGCTTCCGAATGGGACCGGAGGAGTAAATCTCGTTGCCATTTTGGTGGTCTCGGAAAATAGTTTCGGGATTTTCGAGACCAAATCCGAAGAGGAAGTATGCAATTATTAAAAATTGTTTAACAAAATTAATTCAAATTTTTTCTCCCCCATCTGCTGCCACCGCCAGAGAAGGAGCGCCGTAGAAGAAAAAAGAGAGGAAGAACAAGAAGCCAGCTTCGCCGCTGCTGCCGGAGAAGCTGGAGGAGGAGGAGATCACGCCGTGCCCGCCGCCGTCGTTGCCGGAGAAGAAAGAGGAGAAGTAGAGATGCCAATGCTGTCACTGCCGGAGAAGGAGGAAGAGGAGGAGCAAAACCTGCCGCAAACGCTGTTGCACCGCCGCCATCGCCGTTGCCGCCGCCGCCGAAGAGAAGAAACAGCTGCCGGCGACCTTGTTAAGATTTGATTAAAACATAATTTGGATATATTTTATATTTATTATTTACTATATTTAGTTTAAGAAGGTGAATTTTGACTAATAATTATTCCATGTTTATTTGGAATGTAATCTCAATATATTTAGATGTTTCCCATTGAATAATTAAAAGGTCTTTGAAGTTTATCCAAAAGACTCTGCAGGGCCTCTCGTCTCTCCTCTGTTCTTCTCCATTGTCTACAACCTAGTTTGGTGACAATTTCTCTCTTGATTCGCAGCAATTTTGGTATCAGAGCATAGATATGGCAAACAACTCCGGATTGAGCATCTTGCAGCCGGAAATTCCAATTCTTTCGGGCGAAAATTATGAATTTTGAAGCATTAAGATTGAAACGCTGTTCAAGTCCCATGATCTGTGGAACTTTGTCGAGACCGGATACTTGGAGCAAGATCCTGATGAAGCGATATTGGGGGAGAATAAGAAAAAATATTCCAAGGCGCTGTTCTTCATACAACAAGCAGTCCATGACTCAATCTTTTCGAAGATTTCATCAGCTTCAACATCAAACGAAGCATGAACACCTTGAAAATGGCATTTCAAGGATCTGCGAAGGTTCTTACCGTGAAGCTTCAAACTCTCAGACGTGATTTAGAAACTGCGCATATGAAGGAAGGAGAAACAGTGCAAGATTTTCTCACTAGAGTCTCTGGAGTCGTAAGCCAAATGAACTCCTACGGTGAAAGGTTAAAATTGTGGTTGCAAAAATTCTTGGAGTTTGACTCCCAAATTTGATCATGTGGTTGCCGCTATTGAAGAGTCAAAGGATTTGATCACATATTGCTTTGATGAATTGATGGGTTCACTGCAATCCCATAAAGCGAGGTTGAGCAGATCGGAAGAAAAATACGAGAGAAAGCTTTTCATGTTAAAGGTGATTCATCGCAGCAGAGAAATGAACCGAAATATGCAGGCATTAGAGGACGTGCAAGAGATCGCTACCCAGCGAGGAATGGTCGTGGGAGAGGACGGGGAGATGCACACTTCAATGATCGGACCAATAATAAGCATGGTAATAATTGACAAGGCAATA